TGCACGTGTGTGAGAGAGGAGAGGGGAGTGTGGTGAGGGGAGAGGGAGACGCTCCATAAGCAACACAAACACACACACACACACACACACACACACGCACACACACACACACACACACACACACACACACACACACACACACACACACACACACACACACACACACACACACACACACACACACACACACACACACACACACACACACACACACACACACATACACACACACACACCTAAGACCACAAAGAGCTATTCCACACACGTGTGTCCAGTCTGACTCAATGGAGCGACAAAGGGAGTCTGGGTGAGATGGGTTACACTGTGGCTCTGGTGACTGGTGGTGCTGGCCTGGTGGTGTGTACCCCCGGCTGAACTCTAGCTCTCCATGCCCAGATTACTGGCATTGTTTTAATTTTTTAAATTTTGCCCCGAGGGGCAAAATGAAGCGCCACTCATCCTGTGAGTGGACACACCGCCATAGTGACAGTATTGGGCAGCGCCACTCATCCTGTGAGTGGACACACCGCCATAGTGACTGTATTGGGCAGCGCCACTCATCCTACGAGTGGACACACTGTCATAGCAGCATGTAAAACACTCCCCAATAGGAAGAAAACCCGCTGGGTTGTTCATCCTGTCACTTGTACCCAGACACAGCTGGGACTTGCTTAACTGTCTCAAGTGAACAGCTCTTCAAACAAAAATATTAACATTCGTCAACCCTTAAAATCTTACGTTATATTGCGGGTGCAAAATGGGGGAATCTTTTAAGAACAGTATCAATATTTGACAAATAGTGTTTTCCTAACTCAAACAATGTGGGGTTTATTATTCTACACATATTTCTAATGTCCCTCAGGTGTTCACATTCACGTAGATAGTGGTCAAGGCGGTGTCCGTCACTCTCACCACAGATTCTGCAACTCCGCTGATCAACTGTTGTTTCCATTCCGAATCTCCATGGATATTTGTATCCAAGACGGATTCTCGCTATTACTGATTCTCTCCCGCGTCCTCCTCCTCTTCGGCTATAATGATTGGGATTGCCAGCTGCAACCATGTTGTACCATCGTACAGATTCACTGGTTTGTGCTTCTATCCTCCTTTCCTCAGTTACCTTGTCACGGTGATGTTGCCTGACAATACCTCTAATTTGTAGAATTTGTTATTCTTGTTGTGCTATAATTGAACTATTTTAATGTTTAAATTCTTTGTCGAATCTGGCATTAAAGGTGTGGATGGAGGCGGCCTCCACAACTTCTTCTAGCGTGTTCCACCTGCTGAGCGCCCATACAGGGTACCAATATTTCCATATATTCCTTCGGCTCATTTGCGTTTCAGCGTCCACCTGTGTCCTCTTGTCCTACTTTCTCTGAATTTAAAGGAGCTATACCTGGAATATACCTGGAGAGGATTTCGTGAGTTCTTCTAGTACTCGAGCCCAGCTTGGGGCTAGGTTCGACTTGTGAGGGTGTAAAGTAGTGACTGGTGATGGTTGATTGTGACTGGGTGTAAATGATGGTGGTTTATATAGTGACTGGAAGGAAACATTGTCGGTGGAACTCAGTTTAAAGCACCATTAAAAATCGCAGACTTCGGAGCGGTAATAAGAGGCGCAGTTCAGAATGACCTCTCAGGGTGGTATCAAGACCATGATGGCCCAGTCGGTTAGTGTTCCAGAACACCCGCTACACAACACCGGCCTCTCCTGGATAAGTGTAGTGCTACACCCTTTTACCCTCTACGGAGCCAGCGTTCCATGATCCATGGGTTCCTGTAGCATTTGTAGCTAGCATTCAAAGGTCCACAGGTTCTTTGGCCATCTCTGGAGCAAGTATTCTGGGGGGTGCCCGGGGCATCTCTGGAACATGTGTTCTGGGGGGTGCCCGGGGCATCTCTGGAACATGTGTTCTGGGGGGTGCCCGGGGCATCTCTGGAACATGTGTTCTGGGGGGTGCCCAGGGCATCTCTGGAACATGTGTTCTGCGGGGTGCCCGGGGCATCTCTGGAACATGTGTTCTGGGGGTGCCCGGGGCATCTCTGGAGCATGGTGTTCTGGGGGCTACCCTGGGCATCTCTGGAGCATGTGTTCTGAGGGCTACCCGGGGCACCTCTGGAGCATGTGTTCTGGGGGCTACCCGGGGCATCTCTGGAACATGTGTTCTGGGGGGTGCCCGGGGCATCTCTGGAACATGTGTTCTGGGGGATGCCCGGGGCATCTCTGGAGCATGTGTTCTGGGGGCTACCCTGGGCATCTCTGGAGCATGTGTTCTGGGGGCTACCCGGGGCACCTCTGGAGCATATGTTCTGGGGGCTACCCGGGGCACCTCTGGAGCATATGTTCTGGGGGCTACCCGGGGCACCTCTGGAGCATGTGTTCTGGGGGCTACCCGGGGCACCTCTGGAGCATGTGTTCTGAGGGCTACCCGGGGCACCTCTGGAGCATATGTTCTGGGGGCTACCCGGGGCACCTCTGGAGCATGTGTTCTGAGGGCTACCCGGGGCACCTCTGGAGCATGTGTTCTGGGGGCTACCCGGGGCACCTCTGGAGCATGTGTTCTGGGGGCTACCCGGGGCACCTCTGGAGCATGTGTTCTGGGGGCTACCCGGGGCACCTCTGGAGCATATGTTCTGGGGGCTACCCGGGGCACCTCTGGAGCATATGTTCTGGGGGCTACCCGGGGCACCTCTGGAGCATGTGTTCTGGGGGCTACCCGGGGCACCTCTGGAGCATGTATTCTGAGGGCTACCCGGGGCACCTCTGGAGCAAGGCGACTCTCCAGGAGCTGGAGTTCTGGCCTTCCGGAACCATTGCCAAGATATGGATTATTTCTCCACTGTCATTTAACCAGCCTGAGACTTTTGTGACGAATTGTGCGTATTACTGGTGACCTTGTGGAAGAGGAACTTCCTCCCTCTTCCCCCTCCCCCCACTCCCCATTCTGCTATCCCGGGATAGAAGCCGTCCATGGTCGAGTTCTGAGTACTATCCACTTGCCTGGTAGTACCGGAGACACGAACCTATGACTGTTGGTGCCGTGGCTCGACTTTGCATGATAACCCTCACTTAACCTCTCCCTTGGACGGTCATCCTCATGTTGACTAATTCGATTAATCCCCCTGATCAATAGTTGCAAGACTCCGGTAGTCATTTGATCAAGACTCGATCGTTGATCAATAGTTTAAGACTCGGAGGGGGGGGGATGATTTGATCACAGATCAGACTGTGAAACGATGGGATGATAATAGAGGTGAATAACTAGCCGTATATACTAGTGTAAAAGGCAGGATTTCAACTGGTACGCGAAGTGGTCTTTTGAGTTCAATAATATGACTTTATTCATCTCAGTATGTCATCCCATTCTCACAAGGTGCTCCTGCGCCTCACAAGGTGCTCCTGCGCCTCACAAGGTGCTCCAGCGCCTCACAAGGTGCTCCAGCGCCTCACAAGGTGCTCCACCGCCTCACAAGGTGCTCCACCGCCTCACAAGGTGCTCCACCGCCTCACAAGGTGCTCCTTCACAGGACAAGATACCAAAGCTCCACCTCTCCTGTGTTTTCCGAATTCTTGAATTCGCGATGTCTGTAGTAATCCAAATATTTTTTCTGTTCTCAGTAAGATGGAGTGAGTGAAGGCTCGAGGCGCCTCACACACCCTCACACGATCTTCAAATTCTCTGAAGATTTTATTTTGTATTTTCAGAGGAAGAATGTTCAGGGAACAGTTACGTGAAAAGTTAATGCAATAGGCAGTAAATAATCTATTGATATTTATCCGCCATTGACATTAATATTAAAACTAATAGTCACAATCCTCATCACTTACCAAGATAATGAAAGGTGGGATTAAGTAGTTTATTTATTTACTTAATAGTGAAGGTTTTCTTTTAACTGTTGGGTCTGATTGAGGGAGTCTGGAGGGTCTGAGGGAGGGAGTTATGAGGAGAAAGCGCCAAGCCATTATGGCTATATAGCACTGGGAAGGGGGTCAGGATAAGGATTTGCGATGGGACGGGTGAAGGAAAGAGAATGGTGCCCAACCATTTGGACGGTCGGGGATTGAACGTCGACCTGTATGGAAGCGAGACCGTCGCTCTATACCGTCCAGCCCAAGTGGTTAGAGAGCGGCTGTGAGACATAAAGCTCAGAAATGAGGAATATGTAAATGAGCCACAGAAGAGGTGGTCAGGTTTATAACGACGTGGATGGGAAGACATGCGTGTCGCCCTAATGACCCGAACTGCCTGCCACACTGAAAATAATTAGTGACATTGAGATAATTACTGTTTTTCAGGTGTGTGATCAAGCAAGCTATTAGCACAGGTGGACGATGGGCTACGGGGGGGGGGGGGAGAAATTGGTCTGATTTTCGATTTTCATCAAGTTTTCTCACTCAAAACTGATGAGAGAGATGTTAGATAATATAGCAGGAAGTGCTCATTGTAGCAGGATTAGGTCTAATTTGTGTGGATGAACTAATTATCTCGCATGAGAGAATGTAGCGATGACACGTCACCATGCTGCCTCTGTTGCTGCTGCTAGTGCTGCTGCTGCTGCTGCCTCTGTTGCTGCTGCTAGTGCTGCTGCTGCTGCTGCTGCTGCCTCTGTTGCTGCTGCTAGTGCTGCTGCTGCTGCTGCCTCTGTTGCTGCTGCTAGTGCTGCTGCTGCTGCTGCCTCTGTTGCTGCTGCTAGTGCTGCTGCTGCTGCTGCCTCTGTTGCTGCTGCTGCTGCTGCCTCTGTTGCTGCTGCTAGTGCTGCTGCTGCTGCTGCCTCTGTTGCTGCTGCTAGTGCTGCTGCTGCTGCTGCTGCTGTTGCTAGTGGTGCTGCTGCTGCTGCTGCCTCTGCTGCTGGTGCTAGTGCTGCTGTTGCTGGTGCTGCTGCTGCCTCTGCTGCTGTTGCTAGTGCTGTTGCTGCTGCTGCTGTCAGGCAGCATTCAGTATTATCACAAGATGTCATCAGGACCTTATCAGCAGTATACTACAACAATCCTTACAACCCCCCCCCCCACACACTCACACACAGCCGCTCTTCTCCACATGTGTCACTACCCAGGAGGGAGTAAGGGAGTAAAGGGAGTAAATCCCTTGTAATACAACAAATTATGTCCTCAAACAACGAACATAAATCAGAAAACGGTTAAGGAGTTCCCAGATGGATTTACCTGTAGTCATTAGCGGTCGATGGGAGGGAGGGAGGGAGGGAGAGAGGAAGGGAAGGGAGAGAGGGAGAGAGGGAGAGTTAACTCGCTTACAGGACGATGGGAAGGGTGAGCCACACCTCTAAAGAACAGGTGTTGCTGTAGCTTAAGGCTTGTATCTTCGTACGAGTGTTGCTGAATCGCCTTGTGTCACTGTAATGTTACTGTCACCACCCACTCTCAGTACTGTGAGGAAGGGTGGTGGTGGTGGTGGCACCGTGGGGGAGGGTGGTGGTGGCACCGTGGGGGAGGGTGGTGGTGGTGGTGGCACCGTGGGGGAGGGTGGTGGTGGTGGCACCGTGGGGGAGGGTGGTGGTGGTGGCACCGTGGGGGAGGGTGGTGGTGGTGGTGGCACCGTGGGGGAGGGTGGTGGTGGTGGTGGCACCGTGGGGGAGGGTGGTGGTGGTGGTGGCACCGTGGGGGAGGGTGGTGGTGGTGGCACCGTGGGGGAGGGTGGTGGTGGCACCGTGGGGGAGGGTGGTGGTGGCACCGTGGGAAAGGGTGGTGGTGGTGGCACCGTGGGGGAGGGTGGTGGCTGAAGGGAATTCAGCTGGGGATGACAGCTGGTGGGAAGGGTGGCACCCCCCCCCCAACTCTCAATAACAAACGAGACGAAGGAATATATACCATAAGGGGACGAGAGATATATTCCCCGGCCACACACACATGTCACCCCCCCCAGTACACCACATGTGTCGTGACAACACTGACACACACACACACACCGCACAGTACATCACATGTGTCGTGACAACACTGACACACACACACACACCGCACAGTACATCACATGTGTCGTGACAACACTGACACACACACACACACCGCACAGTACATCACATGTGTCGTGACAACACTGACACACACACACACACACACACACACACACACACACACACACACACACACACCACACACACACACACACACACACCGCCCAGTACACCACATGTGTCGTGACAACACCAACACACACACACACACACACACACACACACACACACACACACACACACACACACACACACACACACACACACACACACACACACACCGCCCAGTACACCACATGTGTCGTGACAACACCAACACACACACACACACTCACACACACACCGCCCAGTACACCACATGTGTTGTGACAACACCAACACACACACACACACCGCCCAGTACACCACATGTGTTGCGACAACACCGACACACACACACACACACACACACCGCCCAGTACACCACATGTGTCGTGACAACCCCTCCCCCCCCTCCGCCCAGTACACTGTAACACGGGGCGCTAACCTGAACCAGAAGATGAACACAGTACAACAATGACAGAGAAGGGGAGTTCAAGACAGTAAGTGAGGTCTTGAGGTGGATGGATGACCGTAGACCCCAGGAGCTGCCCCGGGAAGCATGAGGCCCTGGTGAGACCACCTCCTTACCAGACAACCTGCTGTAGTTACACCCAGGCTGTCATTAGACACCTGCCTTTATCTTTGGACACGCAGCAGTGTTCAGGAAAAGGCAGTCCCTTATCTTGAAATACTAATACCTGTATCTGGCAAGAAATAAGGCAGAATAACTTATATAAGGCAAAAGAATGTTGTGTGAAACATACAATTAAGTCACAATTAAATCACAATGGCAAGATGTATCATTGACAATCATTTTGGTGTAATGGAGTGACTTGAACTTTGGTGTAATGGAGTGACTTGAACTTTGGTGTAATGGAGTGACTTGAACTTTGGTGTAATGGAGTGACTTGAACTTTGGTGTAATGGAGTGACTTGAACTTTGGTGTAATGGAGTGACTTGAACTTTGGTGTAATGGAGTGACTTGAACTTTGGTGTAATGGAGTGACTTGAACTTTGGTGTAATGGAGTGACTTGAATTAGTGTTGAACCCAACACTAATTGGGTGATTCTGGTTGGGCTCCTCTTTGGGGCTTTTAGAACCTGCCAGGGAGCTCAGTAGAGTTCTGGGTTGGTCAGCGTTTGTACCATCGTGGCTGAGTCGGTTATGACAGGCTGTTGTTGTTGTTGTTTAAGATTCGTTACCTGGGACAAAAAGTTCCAAGTAGCACGGGCTATGGTGAGCCCGTAACGGCGTCTGGGAATCACCAGGTCGCCAGTTCCAATCACTCAATTGCCTCAAAATGATTGTCATATAATGAAGTATTTGGACAAGTTGGGAACAGTCAAATCTACTTGTTTAAAGCAGTGTAATTATAGGGAGTTATGCTACACTGAGGCTATACTGAGTGTTGACACTGTGCCAGGGGGAGTGGTGGTGGTGGTGGTGGTGGGTACACTGAGTGTTGACACTGTGCCAGGGTGGTGGTGGTGGCTACACTGAGTGTTGACACTGTGCCAGGGTGGTGGTGGTGGCTACACTGAGTGTTGACACTGTGCCAGGGTGGTGGTGGTGGCTACACTGAGTGTTGACACTGTGCCAGGGTGGTGGTGGTGGCTACACTGAGTGTTGACACTGTGCCAGGGGGAGTGGTGGTGGTGGCTACACTGAGTGTTGACACTGTGCCAGGGTGGTGGTGGTGGCTACACTGAGTGTTGACACTGTGCCAGGGGGAGTCTGGTGGTGGTGGTGGCTACACTGAGTGTTGACACTGTGCCAGGGGGGGG